GCTTGCTACCACCATACTGTCTACCCTGCTACCCCTGCTTGCTACCACCATACTGTCTACCCTGCTACCCCTGCTTGCTACCACCATACTGTCTACCCTGCTACCCCTGCTTGCTACCACCATACTGTCTACCCGTTACCACGGCTTGCTACCACATATCTGTCTACCCGGCTCCCCTTCTTGCTACCACCATACTGTCTACCCTGCTACCCCGCTTTCTAACCACCATACAGTCTACCGGCTACCCGTGCTTGCTACCACTATACTGTCTACCCTGCTAACCCTGCTTGCTACCACCATACTGTCTACCCTGCTACCCCTACTTGCTACCACCATACTGTCTACCTTGCTACCCCTGCTTGCTACCACCATACTGTCCTAACCCTGCTACCTCCGCTGTCCTCGCTTGCTACCACCATACTGTCCTACCCTGCGACCCCGCTGCTACCACAATAGTGTCTCCCTGCTACCCCTGCTTGCTACCACCATACTGTCTACCCTGCTACCCCTGCTTGCTACCACCATACTGTCTACCCTGCTACCCCTGCTTGCTACCACCTTACGGTCCTACCTGCTACTCCGCTTCCTACCACCATTAACTGTCTACCCTGCTACCCCTGCCCCCCCCCCTTGCGACCACTATACTGACTATCCTGCTACCCCTGCTTGCTACCACCATACTGTCTAACCTGCTACCCCTGCGTCTGCCACTATACTGTCTATCCGGTACCCCTGCGTGCTTACACCATGACTGTCAACCCGCACCCCTGCTTGCTACCACCAAACTGTCTACCCTGTTACCCTGCTTGCTAACACGCATTACTGTTACCCTGCAACCCCTGCTTGCTACCACCATACAGTCTACCCTGCTACCCCTGCTTGCTACCACACATTACGTCTACTGCTACCCCTGCTTGCTACCACCATACTGTCTACCCTGCTACCCCTGCTTGCTACCACCATACTGTCTACCCTGCTTCCCCTGCTTCCTACCACCATACTGTCTACCACTGCTACTCAGCTCCTACCACCATACAGTCAGACACTGCTCCCCTCCCTTGTTTTCCTATCACCATACTGTCTACCCTGCTACCCCTGCTTGCTACACCATATGTCACCCCAGCACCCCTGCTTGCTACCCCATATGGCTACCCTGTCTATCCCTGCTTGCCTACCACCATGCTGTCTACCCTGCTACCCCTGCTTGCTACCACCATACTGTCTACACTGCTACCCCTGCTTGCTTCCACTATACTGTCTACCCTGCTACCCCTGCTTGCTACCACCATACTGTCTACCCTGCTGCCCCTGCTTGCTACCACCATACTGTCTTCCTGCTACCTGCTTCCCTACCACCATACTGTCTACACTGCTACCTCTGTTCTTTCCTACCACCATACTGTCTACTCTGCTATCCCTGCTTGCTACCACCATACCGTCTACCCTCCTACCCCTGCTTGCTACCACCATACTGTCTACCTTGCTACCCCTGCTTGCTACCACAATAAACTGCTACCATTTTGTCCGCTACCCCTGCTTGCTACCACCATACTGTTACACTGTACCCCTGCTTGCTTCCACTATACTGTCACCCTGCTACTACCCTGCTTGCTACCACGATACTGTCTACCCAGCTACCCCTGCTTGCTAACCACCATACTGTCTACCCAGCTACCCCTACTTGCTACACCATACTGTCTACCTTGCTAACCCTGCTTGCTACCACCAAGTTTTTTTGGGTGTCTGTCTACCCTGCGTCCCTGCTTCCTACCACCATACTGTCTACAACTGCTACTCATGCTTCCTACCACCATACTGGTCTACACTGCTACCCCTCCTTGCTATCACCATACTGTCTACCCCTGCTACCCCTGCTTGCTACCACCTAAACTGTCTACCCTGCGACCCCTGCTTGCTAACCACCATACGGTCTACCCGCTATCCCTGCTTGCTACCCCATGCAGTCTACCCTTGCTACCCCTGCTTGCTACCACCAACTGTCTACACTGTTCCCCTGCTTGCGTCCCACTATACTGTACTACCCTCTACCGCCCTGCTTGCTACCACCATACTGGCTACCCTGCTACCCCTGCTTGCTACCACCATACTGTCCTTCCCTGCTACCCCTGCCTTCCTACCACCATACTGTCACAACTGCGACCTCTGTTTCATACCACCTACTGTCTACACTGCTATCCTTCTTGCACCACCATACCGTCTACCCTCCTACCCCTGCTTGCTACCCCATACTGTCTACCTTGCTACACGCCGGAGCTTGCATACCACCATGCTGTCTACCCCTGCTACCCCTGCTTGGCGACAACCAACTGTCCTACACTGTACACCCTGCCTTGCTTCCACTATACTGGTCTACCCGTGCTCCCCCTGCTTGCTACCACGATGACTGTCTACCCAGCTACCCCTGCGTGCTACCACCATACGTCTACCCTGCCTACCCCTACTTCCTACCCACAATACTGTCTACCCGGCTACACCTGCG